CTTCTGGACTAAGATCCCTGAGGTTGTTTCTGAGATCTGGTGAAGCCATTCTTCAAGTTCTCCAATAACCTCTGGAGCTAATGATGCTTTGACTCTCCACAACTTTTGTATTTCCCCTTTCAGCACCTGGTATTACTCAAGCTTCTTGTACTACTTCATTCTGGTGTTTGAGTCACTTGGAATGTTATATCTATCTCCACTGCCCTCTTCTCTTGCTTGTTGACCAACACAGTCACTCTTTCCAATGATCTACAATGATGGGAGGCAGTGGCTGAGCGATGGGGGGGGAGGGGTGTCCATTCAACCACAATCAGGTCCTATATTTCACTGTTCAGTTTAGTCAGATCTGTTTGTCTTGGGATATAGTCTGACAAACAAAAAATCTAAAAAGGTTTCCCACATGTTTCTCTGTAATTCTAATCAAACTGGTTGTTCAGTTAATCACCGAACAGCATGGACATCACTGGTCACTGGACCTGGTGAAATGTATTTAAAATTAAAGAGGACATAAATCTGATAAAAGGTCATAAATTATTCTGCTTTCTATTTTACAGACAGCTCAGAGAACAGTTGACAGCAGAAAACTGACTGGACCTGAACCACATGGAAACTAAGTCTTTCTGTCTTTTCTCTCAGAGTGACTGAAGACCAGAAGATGGAAAATCAGGGGAAGGAAAAGTCTCCAGGCCCCAGCTGTCTGTCCATGAGGAGTGACAACTCCATACATGAACCTCTATGCTTCAGGACTGAACCTGGACTTTCAGGCAAAAAGTAAGAAACCTGTCCCTGAGTCTCGGCTCCTGGAACTCCTCAAAGAACAAATAAAATGTTTTCAGATTTAATTTCTGGTGGAAAACTGGTGAATTATCAGTCTGGTTTTATGGGAAGTTTATTTTCTCTCAGTTTTCAACCAGAAATATTCAGATATGTATGGCATCAATAACAGGGTGACTGCAGTGGGTTCTCAGCCTGTCTCTGTGTGTTTGCTGCTTTTTAGTCTGTTTTTCTCAATCCCTGTTAAACCATTGATTTGTCTGCTTGGATGACCAGACTTGTATTACTAGTTTGAATTAACTTGGACTAAATCAAGGAAACACATCACCCAGAGTATTTAGTACACAAGAGAAGTTCTACAAATAAACACTGAAACATTTAAAACATATAATAAATGTAATATTATAAGGAGTCATCAATGCTCTACCCTCAAACACAATATCCACAGAAAGAATGGTCAAAGGACTGTACTTATATAGCTCCTTTCTGTCCAATCAGGATGCATAAAGCTGTTTACAATCTGCTACTCTGCTGCATCATTCTACAAAGCTAATCTAGATTAATCATCCTAAAGTAACTTGAGGATTTTTTCACAATCTGCAGCAGTCAAAACCCAAGTACAAGCAAAAGGCTCATATAGGAAGATGTCTATTGCAGAAGTAGAAGATAAAATGTGTGATTTGGCAACTTTGGGTCAAAGATATACAGTATATGTCTGTTTGACTGTAGACAAGAGAAGATGATGCTGCCTGTTCCTGAAAAGAACCTATTGAAGAATGTGTTCAGTTCACCTCTCAGCAGGTATTTTGGCCCACTCCTCATGAGGAAATGTATGCCTGTATTAACTATTTTCTGGCAACATGTTGAAATTGTTCTAATCTGTTTTAAAGATTAGAAAAATTAGTATCCAAGGTCTCACGATCCCCTTTAATACCTCTGCAACCCAATACGTGCTCCACAACAATCCTCCTCTATTACTCAGTGTTAAAAAAAAGGCAATGTTTGTTACCCTTTAACTGTTCAGATCTAACACCAGTTAATAATAATGACATGTGAATGTTTGAGTGAGCCATACAAAACTATCCGGACACAGCTGTGGACTGATTAGCTTTCATCTGCCTCAAGCCCGAGGTATACTTTCGCTTTGGTCCGCCGGCTGGAGCGCGCGTGCACTGAGCCGTGTCGGCTTCTGCGTTTACAGTTTCGCAGCTGTGTTTATAGTTGACGTGCAGCGGCACACGGCAAAGTGCTGTTCTTTTACGGACCAGCAGGTGGCAGTACCTCTAAACCTTGTGCATTGGTTGCAAGAAACGGGCGTAGAAGAAGAAATGTATGGCGTCACACAACTTTATTTCATTTCTATTTTGTTCATTCATGTTCTTATTTTAATTTTGAAGTTGTTTTTTTTTTCTTTGCTAACTAAGTGTGGAGCTGCCGCTGCTGCCCCCTGTTTTGGCCTTGTACCTTTAGTTTTTAGGTCTACTTTCAAGTGTAAATGATCTTAAATTAAATGAAACTGCATTGAAATATCACTGCAACTTTCCTTCTCAGTTTTGTTTGCATATTGTCATATTCTCAATGTCACTAACAGTTTCACTCTATAAAATTAGGTATGAAACAGACTTTTTTATAAGTGTAAGAAGAACATTCAATGCTAATGTACGTAAATAGGAAACCTCAAATGGTATTTTAAATATAATTCCCATCATGAATCAAAAGAAAGTTTTGCATCCTCACATGG